TTTCAGCATCTTGGCCAGGCTGGTCTTGAACTCCTGACCTTGTGATCCACCCGCCTTGGCCTCCCAAAGTGCTGGAATTACAGGTGTGAGCCACTGTGGCTGGCCTATGAGGTTTAATGTTTAAGTGCTATATGGAAAGTTCCAAGTCTTGACAAATCGATGACTTTCCAAATTTGAGAACCCTAATAGAGGTGGGTGGAGATCTATGGTCTAATAGAAATCATTACATACAACACCAGCACTACAACACCAGGATTGATATTGGGTGATTTTAATATGCTGTGCACATTTGTTGATGAGAGTACTAGAAGTGAATTGGAAAATTCCAATACAAGGCAATTCAAGATGAGATTAATATATGCACTGTAAGTCAATTGTTGGCATAGAAATACATCGATATGCTTTTGAAAAACCCAGAAATTACTGCTTTGAATCGATAGGTAGGCATCCCATCACTGTGTCAGGTGAGTTGGAGCACACAAACAATAAGTAACAGTCTTGTCTACAGTCAGAGAAGGCATCTCCATGAAATGAATAGAGAGCAGCAATTAACAAGATGCCGATTTTATGCCCCGCTTCCCTCAAATTAAGGCATATGCACAACAGAAGATAGTTCCCATAAAAATGGATTGGTGAAGAAGAGAGGGAATTTTTAGGGGAAAGGAAAAGCATAGGATGAGAATTGTCTCTATGGAGAAGAATGTGAAACAAAGGGGAAATTTGAATGTGTTTCAGTATTATAAAAAGCAAATGATTTTCCAGGGGTCAGCTTATTTCCAGAATTGCTTTGTCTGTTTGTACATATGCCAGATCAAAAGTAGCTTTTTAAAACCAGTTTTAAAAAATTATGAAAGTAGTACTTGTACCTTATTTTTAAAAAATTCAAGTTTAGTGATGAAGTAAATCTTTACCTCTTCTCCTAACCCCTGCCCTAACTCAAGAATAACTGTTACATTTTTAAAAATATTCTTCTGCAAATGTTAAAGTATATTTCTATATGTACATGTTTTTATTTCATTTTGAGACAGGGTTTTTCTCTGTTACTTAGGCTGGAGTGCAGTGACATGATGTGAGCTCACCATACTCTCGGCCTCCCAACTCAAGCAATCCTCCCACCTCAGCCTCCCGAGTAGCTGGGAATCTGGGTGTGCGCCACCATGCCTGGCTACTCTTTTTGGTTGTTGTGGAATTGAGTTTCACCACTGTTGGCCAGGCTGGTCTCGAATTCCTGGGCTAACATAATACATCAGCCTTGGCCCCTTAGAGTGCTGGGATTACAGGAGCCACTGTGCCTGGCTGATACACACACACACACACACACACACACACACACACACATTTTTCTAAACATGTTTCATTTATACCCTGTCTTTTTTTTACACTTTTTTTTTTTTTTTGAAATAGAGTCTTGCTTTGTTGCCCAGGCTGGAGTATAGTGGAGTATTCTTGGTTAACTGCAACCTCTGCCTACCTGGTTCAAACAATTCTCCTGCCTCAGCCTCCCTAGTAGCTGGGATCACAGGTGCCTACCACAATACCTGGCTAATTTTTGTATTTTTAGTAGAGATGAAGTTTCACCATGTTGGCCAGGCTGGTCTTGATCTCCTGATTTCAGGCCATCTGCCTGCCTTGGCCTCCCAAAATGCTGGGATTACAGGTGTGAGCCACCACACCTAGCCCATTTTTTTTTAAAAACACACTTAACAATATGTCTTGGAGGTCTTTCCAAATTGTTACATTGATTTCCTTTTTTTTTTAAACTACATGGCATTCAACTATATGAATGTATATTATTTGTCTGCTCACCTACGTAGAAATCTTATAGACCTGGCATAGCATGTTAACTTTTTACAAAGGTGTATGAATTTTTAATATGGTGCACATTAAATTTTCTACAGGATAATGTATGTAGATGCATTTTTAAAGTTCTTCTTACATACCCATTTCCATGTGCCCCACATTTAGAATGATAAAATCATTTATTTGAAAAAGACTTTAAAAGTCACCTTGGACACGATGCTTTAATCTCCTTGATAAAATGTCTACCACACAGGAGGAACTGTCCTTTTTTAAACTGGTACTTTCTCACTATTACCAGAAATAGTCATATCAGCTAAGATGATTTCAGCTGCAAGGAACAGAATGCCTGTCTAAAAGTGACTTAAACATCAAGGGCATTTCAGTACCTCACACACAAGAAGTCCAGAGGTAGGCTCTCATGGGTTTTGGTTAATTTATTATGTTGGCGCAAAATAATTGCTGGTTTTGCCATTAAAAACATGGCAAAAACAGCAATTACTTTTGCACCAACCTAATAGCATCTCTGAATCACTTAGCTTTCCCTCAGAGTTTCAAGATCATTATGATGACCCAAGCATCATAACCTCACACAGTTGTGTCCAAAGGCTGACAAACAGAATGGCCTTTCTTTCCCACATGTCAGAATGAAGATCCAGCCCCAGAAGCCCCTTCGTGGACCTGCCTTTGCCTCTCATTGGCTAGAATCATGTCACATGTCCAATCCTTAGTTTCATGGAATTGTGGGAAAGAATATCTCTAGAATATCCAGATTCTATAGTGATAGGCCTTCTTCATAAGGAAGTTTCGAGGGGTTTGGGAGAGATGTTGAATAGATGCTCTGCAGAGTTGGCTAGAGTAGTGTTTTCTTTTTGGTAGAGTCAAAATCTGTCTCTTAGTAACTCCACTATTGGTCTTTGTTAAACTCTGTAAGCCATTCCTAAGGAATAAGGACTTCTAATGAAGGAAATGTATAGAAAGCTGTAAGGTTTTCCTCCTTTTTCTTTTTTTACATGCCTTTGCATGGTCCTTTATGTGCTGTCATAATAGTGAAAAATACAGAAGGTCACTGTTTTCTGTGGCTCAGACTCTTCCCTTGCTTTTGCACTGGACTGCACCATAGCTGCACTGCTTATAAGGTTCTTTCTTTATAGTAATTAATAGAAACCTAAAATTGTTCCTCTGTCTGTGCTTCCATTTTGACGCCCCAGATACCTTAAATAATAAGCTGGTAGAAACAAGTCAGAACGTCTACCAAGTAGTTTTGATTGATTAGAGCTATGAGAACAAGTTGCATCTTGTATCTTAAGGTGATCATTAGGGATGCTACAAATTTTAACAGTAATATGTGTTTTAACTTTCCTTCCCCTCTTCCTTCTTTTTCAAACTTTTAAAAGACCTCTGATTTAGAAGGGATGCTAAGTAGATATTTGATATGGGAGTCTTTCACTTTAAGTTACATACTAATCTTCATTTCTTTGGGCTTAGTATTTGCGAAGTGGTTGTAAGAGTTTGGAAGAAAATATTAAATGGTGTAGAAATAAAAGACCAAGACCTTGGATCCCATGTGTGCTACTGTTTCCTTGACTTCTTAAGGTTTTAGCATCTTGGAGGGCCCATCTCTGTTGGGATCTGAGCATCTGAGAATTACAGGATTTCCTCCTTGTGATTGCATTTGTGTGGAGGGCTCATTGTTTTTTGACCCCCACCCTCCAGATTTCCTAGATAAGACCATATATTTAAGGATGCAATTTTTGAATGAAAACTCACAAGATAGATCCAATTATTTCGTTTCTAGGTGCAGTATCGGGGAGACAGTATTTTACCGGAACATTACAGACTTCTTCTTCTTGACGTTGAATGTGGAAAATTATTAACTTTAAAAAGTAAATTCCTACTTAATACCTTTGTTTTCTTTTTGCACCATCCTTTGGATTGATTTGCCTTCTGTGTGTACCTTTCTAGGAATCGTGAACCCTAGGGGGTTAAAACTAGGATGTTGTCGAGCTTTGCAAAATAATTGAGTTCAGAGAAAAAAGGGGTATTCTACCCCTCAAACAGCATCATTTTTTTACATGGTATGTTCCCTTAAAGGGTCATAGTATATGGAAAGAATACGGGGTCTGCTAGTGAATAAAAAAGAGATACTAAGCAAGATTTGCAAACACTTGAGTAGATGGCTGTCTCTCCTCCAACTCTGTCTTCCTTCCTGTATGTCATATGGAACGAGCCAGTGTGTTATAACTGGCTATTATAATGGTCTGTGAAAGTCTCTACCTTTTGTTTTTGGAACATGTGGGTCTTTTACACATTGTCAGGGCAGCAGAACATCCAAACTGACAGGTAATCCGACTTATTGGCTAAGCCACACCAGATACTGTTTCGTCCCTAAACTGTTTGATTCTTTTCTTCCTTGTTCTTTAATTTCCTGGGAATGTAATAAGAAGAAACCTCACTACTTATTTTTCAGTGCATGAAACAACAAAGTATTTCTGGAAAAATGTCCTTTTAAAAATTTGTTTTGGTTTTTTCTTTATGCTTAATTCTCTTCCAAGATAGTGCCCAAGTAATTGTAGAAGGGATTTGAAATTTTTGCCGGTTTTACATGTTCAAAGGTGGGAAGTATTCCAAAAGTGTTGTAAAAGAGAACACTTTCATCTGTTCATAAAGGCAATGGTGAACTATTCCATTAGAACCTACTTAGAAATGTGGCAGGGTTTAGCAGCCTTGTAAATGATAGGTTTGGACCCATTATGAAGATTAATAGTAGAAATCCTTACCCTTGTATTATACTTCCGAGAATGTCAGTTTTTAAAAGAGGGTAAATGGGCCGGGTGCGGTGGCTCATGCCTGTAATCCCAGCACTTTGGGAGGCCAAGGTAGGTAGATCACCTGAGGTCAGGAGTTCAAGACCAGCCTGGCCAACATGGCAAAACTCCGTCTCTACTAAAAATACAAAAATTAATTGGGCGTGGTGCACACCTGTACTCCCAGCTACTCAGGAGACTGAGGCAGGAGAATTACTTGAACCCAGGAGGTGGAGGTTGCAGTGAGCTGAAATTGGGCCACTGCACTGCAGCCTGGGCAACAGAGTGAGACTCTGGCTCTAAATCAGTTCATCCAGCCAGCCAGCCAGCTAGCCAACCAGAAAGACTCAAACTTGAATCGGACAGATCATTACATTTTCTTTCTTTACACTTTAGAAGTTCATCTGGACCCCTACCGAACATGGTGTCCTGTTGCAGACTGTCAGACAGTGTGCCCCGTTGCATCGAGTGACCCAGGACAGCCTGTGCTGGTGGAATGCCCTTCTTGCCACCTGAAATTCTGCTCGTGTTGCAAGGATGCTTGGCATTCAGAGGTCTCCTGTAGAGACAGTCAGCCTGTTGTCCTGCCAACAGAGCACGGGTAAGAAAGGAAACTTTGTCTTTGGGATTATTGAGTAGTTTTCTTAGGAACTCAACATACGTTATGTGTAGGAGTTACGTTGTGATGGCCTTTAGAGATTGGTTATTTTCTTGCAGAGCCTCCCTGAGAAGTGTCTCAGAATTGGTAAGTTGCTAAACAAAACAAAACACCAAAAAAGTATTTCTAGTTATTTGCCCCAGAGGAATGTTCCAGATATTGCTGGAACTAAAGTGTGTATGAGTTTTGCTTTCTCTTTAGGTAGTGAGGCACTGTGGTCTGCTGATTCTCAGTGGGAAATCGTGACTTGTCCCAGCTATTTGCCCAGATACCATATCTGCCTCTATTGGTGTATCTCATTCTTCTTGCTTGCAAAATGAATCAGAAATTTTCTTACCTGACTAAATTGCCAGCTCATGATGTGTGACAGTCATATCAGAAAGAATGCAGCAATAGCAACAATAAATTCTTTCATAATATAGAAAGGACGGTTCTTCCATGATACTTTATGCTCTGAAAAGGTTGAGATTTTGTTATGACAGGTAGCAATTAGATCTTTACCTTTTTAGTACGGAAGGTTTTTTTTTTCTTTGAGACCGAGTCTTGCTCTGTTGCCTAGGCTGGAGTGCAGTGGCGCAATCTCAGCTCACTTCAACCACCGCCTGCTGCATTCAAATGATTCTCCTGCCTCAGCCTCCCAATTAGCTGGGATTACATGTTCATGTCACCACACCCAGCTAATTTTTGTATTTTTAGTAAAGATGAGGTTTCACCATATTGGCCAGGCTGGTCTTGAACTCCTGACCGCAAGTGATCCACCCACCTCAGCCTCCCAAAGTGCTAGGATTACAGGTGTGAGGCACTGCGCTTGGCCCATATGGAGGGATTTTATGGCAGCAACAGGGCCCAGAGTGGGAGACCTCTGTGTTTTATTCCTGCCTTGCTTGGGGCTATGGTTGTTCTGCGTCAGCAAGAACAAGATACCAGTGTTGTGATCCCACTGGCTTAATCACGAAGTGCACCCAAGTGTGTAGAACCAGGCGTTAGGAATAGTAATGCTACCTGGCTACAATACTGTGCTTGAATCCCAGAACAAACAATTGGAGAGGAAAAAAGATCTAATACTCGGGGCAGGCATGTGCCCTCTTAGCCAGACTTAAACCAGCATTGCCTACTTTTTCGTGACCATAGCAGGAAGCTCTGTGGGTTTCACGGGGCAATGCAAAGAACTCAGAGGATAGGAGGATTTTCATTCTGACATTGTCACTTGGTATCTGTGTGTCTCATGGAAGTCACTCAGCCTCTGTGAGTCTGTTTCTTTATCTGAAAATAAGGGAATTAAGATACAAGTTGAGCATCCTTTATCCAAAATGCTTGGGATAAGAAGTGTTTCAGATTGCAGTTTTTTTCGGAGTTTAAAATGTTTTCATTATATATTTTACTGGTTAAGCATCCGTAATCTGAGTATCAGAAGTCAGAAAGGCTTCAGTGAGCATTTCCTTTGTCATGTCAGCACTCAAAAAGTTTCAGACTTTGGAGCATTTTGAATTTCAGATTTTTGGACAAGGGTTGCTCAACCTGTAATTGTCTCCTGGCAGTATGAGGTTACTGTTCGTACTAAATCTGATAATGGATTTGATAACACTCTGTGAGTTGAATATGTCTGTATGCTGGGTGGTGGTTTTTTGTTTTTTTTTTTTTTTTGAGATAGTCTTGCTCTGTTCCCAGGCTGGAGTGCAGTGGTGTGTTCTCTGCTCACTGCAACCTCCGACTCCCTGGTTCAAGTGATTCTCCTGCCTCATCCTCCTGAGTAGCTGGGACTACAGGCACACGCCACCATGTATTTTTAGTAGGGCCAGGGTTTCACTATGTTGCCCAGGATGATCTCGATCTCCTGACCTCATGATCTGCTTGCCTTGGCCTCCCAAAGTGGTGGGATTACAAGCGTGAACCACCACGCCTGGCTGGGTGGTAGTTTTGCTGGGGAGTAGCTAAAGTGTTACCTGGTCCTATGACTCACCTATTCGTCTTTCCCACTCTAATTCTTGTTGCTTATTTTCTGTGCCCCTTGGGGCTGTGAGCCTGTGAGCCTGTCTATGCGTCTGTTTGGAGAAGGTCTTTTGAAAGTATTTGACATTATTTTAAAGTGTTGATAATTGAGACCCCCTTCTCCATTGGTCTAATGAACAGAGTGTTAGATAGATGATATACGCCCAGTCTGGACCCTGACCTGGTTTCTCTGCTATGTGACTGACTCCTTGCAGTTCTTATTTTGGCAATGCGTGCTTAGGGAATGAAATATTAATTTGGCAAAATAGTTAAATCAGTGATGGAAACTGTAATTATATGATTCACTGAAAGCCCAAATAAATAAAGATTCCTTCTTGCATGAGTTATCTAGTAAATCTAGTAAGAAGGATGTTTTTGGCCACACCCTATCTCCTGGAAGTGAATCAAGCGTGGATAACTATGAGTTCATCATCTAACCATCAGGAGGCCTGGGAATTCAACTGATGACCATCGGCTGAATGCCATTTCTCATCCATTTGTTTCTAGAGCCCTCTTTGGGACAGATGCAGAAGCCCCCATTAAGCAATGCCCAGTCTGCCGGGTTTATATCGAACGCAATGAAGGCTGCGCTCAGATGATGTGTAAAAACTGCAAGCACACGTTTTGCTGGTACTGTCTCCAGAACCTGGACGTAAGTTCCCCCAGGTTTATTGTACGGTTTTTCCTATACTGTATCTGTACCACAGCTGACAGCCTACAGATTTTCCTCTTAAAACATAGAAGCACTTTTTGTCCTGCAAATGGAATTTGTTTTTCTTAATGAGACTTCCTAAGCCTGTTACTTTAGATATCTAAAAACAGCTTTTTGATTATGTTACATATGCCACCTTGGTGTTAAAGGCAAGCTTTTGTTTTAGGGGCGTTTCTTACTATTTGTACATTGTCTCACTCTATCATGTAAAGGACTATTAGTGTCTTCATTTTATATTGCTGTTGTAACAAATTAGCACAGGCTTAGTGGCTTAAAAAACCACTAACTTATATAGTTCTGCACGTTGGAAGTCTGACATAGGTCTTGCTGGGTTCAAGTCAAGGTGTCTGCAGGGCTGCATTTGTTTCTGAGGCTCTGGTGGAGAATCTGTTTTCTTGCCTTAGGGTATGTCTGCTTTCCTTGGCTTGTGGCTTCTTCCTCCATCTTCAAAGCCAGCAACATCACATCTCTCATTTCCTTCTTAGTCATTGTTCCCTCTGACTACAGCTGGGAAAGGTCTCTACCTTAAGGACCAGTGTGAGGAGACTGGGCCCATCAGGATAATGTAGGATAATCTTCTCTATCTCAGGGTTTAATTTAATCAAACTTGCAGAATCCCTTTTGCCATCTAGGGTAACACATTCATGGATTCTGAGGATTAGGCCATGATATCTTTGGGAGGCAGTTATTCTGCCTACCACTATTAGCTCTTCTCTTCTTTTTGAATTTAAAGAAAAATGGTTCGTGCTCTCTTGCTCTGTTGCTTGTGCTCTCTCGCTCGTGTTCTCTCTCTCTCTCTCTCAGTTCTGGGCATGCAGTAGTATTGCTACTGTTTTGTCAGTGTTCCCTTCCCAGATCAAGGGGCTTGGCTTAATTATTTTTTCTCACCATCCATGAATCAAGTCATTTTCTTTTTTTTTAATTGTATTTTAGGTTCTGGAGTACATGTGCAGATCATGCAGGATTGTTGCATAGGTATATACATGACAAGGAGCTTTGCTGCCTCTCTGCCCCCATGATCTATACCTGGCATTTCTCTCCACATTACCCCTCCTCACCCTCCCCACCTTCCGCTATCCCTCCCCTAGCCAAAAATGAACCAAATGGTAAAGACCAACAACACAATGAAGCAACTGTGTTGACAAACGGGCAAAACAAACAACAATAGTCACAAAATGGCAGGATCAAATTCACACATAACAATATTAATGTTAAATGTAAATGGCCTAAATGCCCCTATCAAAAGACACAAACTGGCAAACTGGATAAAAAGTCAAGACCCACTGGTGTGCGGTATTCAGAATCAAGTCTTCCTAAATTCGGGTGCAGTTTTATTCACCTCTGTGCCAGGGCTAATGGTAACCTCAGAGGTAGAAATGCAGTGGGAATGGTTGGTGAGAAGGTCTTACTCCACTTCTGGCCTTTGAAAGTTTGGGGTAGCATAAGCCGTTTATAGATAATGCCCTGTTTTGGCAATTTGGACCTCTAAAATATGTCCATATCAGCATAAGCCCTCAGTCACCACTGAGTTGCCATTCTTTTCTCAGCTCTTCGTTTTGGTTGCTTGATTTGCTTTAATTCAGCAAGCAATTTGTGTAGTGCGTTAGTTCAGACATGCTTAGTGAGTGAGCGTGCAGTTAGCATGTGATGTCTGCTGGCCACCACCTGCTGGATTTTTAACTGAAAAGTAGACATGCTGTTTAAGATGACACGCGTGAGGAAAATAATAACCTCCATCTTAGTGGTTTAAGAAGAGGTATAAACTGGGGAGAAGAAAATGGACATTTCAGACTCGAGAAGTTCAGCAGCTCAGGTTGGAATAAATATTTTCCATTGAAAAAATTGATTTCTCATAGTTCTTTGAATTATAATTACATTTGATATTTAAGCCCTAGCATGCATCTAAATGAGTGATATTCTGGATGAGAATTTTAGATTGCACATTACACATGCATTACAAATAAAAAACCATTTTTTTTCCTTCAGGTTTTACCAGAATATTAATTGGGTTCTTCTCCACAAGGAGGCTGAGCCCATGAGGCTCTCTTTAGGATGCCCAAGTGTAAGGGACGAAATATGTGTACCAGCTCTCCATCCTTTGGTTGAAATGTGTTTGGAGGATGGGGTTGCAAAGAACGTGTGGTTCTGTCACTTGTGCTGTTCTGGTTCTGGAGATGAAATGGTGCAGATGTTAAATGGCTGGATACACAGACTTCAAACGTGGAAGCATCTTTTTTTCTGGTGACTGTTTTTTAAAATCTCATTTTCGGTTTTAGTCAGGGGTGCTGGATTGTTGGTAATGACATTTTTCCCTAGGCAAATGGAGTTCTACATCAGATGGTGGTGTTGCTTTCTGTTTATAGGAAAGTTTGAGAGCATGGGGGCAGGAGAGGGGTGACTGTCTAAAATCCAGGCCTGAGACTGACACCAAACAGGAATTTCGAGTGTTGCTGGAGATGAGCTTGTTCCTGTCTTGATTCTCATCCCTGTAGTTGCAGAGGATGAGTTATGCTTAATTGTCTGCTTTAGAATCCTATTTCTGTCCATAGCCTTAGAGACTTGAGCCCATTCAGTTATCTCTTCCCTCTCCCATGGTTTCAATCTCCACTCTTTCAAAATATCCATGCATTCGACTATGTCACATTTAAACATGAGTAATCATTTTTATTAAAGCATGCATCTTTTCCTTACTACCCTTCTATTTATCTTTCCTTTAGAAGCCAAGCTTCAAAAAAGCCTAATCACCTCTTGCTGCTACTCACATTACTTACCTTCCAAACATTGCAATGTGCTCAGCTTGCCACATAGTCACACCCTGACTGTACCCGTTCCCCAGATTTTGAGTGATTTCTTACTGGCAGAATCCAGTGAGTACTTGTCCTTAGCTAACCTAGATCCTCTGCTGCATATGACATTCTTGACCACATCCATTTCAGCGGTACCACCTCTGTTGATTTCTGTTCTCCTTTTCTGACCGTGTCTCATTTCCCTTTCTAGCCTCTTCCTCAACCCATTCTTAAATGCTTGTGTTCAGCAGTCTCTTTGCTTCTCAGTTTACCCTTCTTCCTGATTAATTCAGTCTCTTCTGTGGGTTCCTTCCACCCTACGTACACTGATGCCCGATTGAAACCCCTTTCTCCAGTCATCTAATGAACAGACCATTAGATTATCTACACCTAATTTGGACCCTGAGTTAGTTACTCTGCTGAGGTCCAAGTCTTTTTTTCAGTCTAGATCTATGTGATGAGCTGCCTTTTGAACAGCCCTGCTTGGATGTTTCAACCATCTCTCAAGTTCAACATGTTCAAACTTATCTTCCCAACAAACTCCATCTCTGTGTTGTCATTTCTCTCGATAAAGCTACTGCCTTCTTTCAGCCCAACTGGTTTCCCTCATCTGCGATTTCTTCTCCTTGTCTCTCTGTCTAGTTAGTTAGTTTTTTTAATATTTTAGGACTATAATTTCCTCTTCTTCATCCATCCTCAGTCACTGGCATTTTCTCTCTCCTGGTTTGCCACACCAGCCTTTCAGCTGCCTTGCTTCTGGCCTTCCCATTCCATTGTACCTCTGCGGGCTACCTTGCTAAGATTAGTAAGGTCTTTGCTATTCTTTTTTTTTTCTTTTTAAATAATTAATTGAGATTCTTATTGTTTATGATTTGTTTTCACGTGGTGATTTACGAAACTACCAAGATAAAGAGTATGGGCTTGGAATTCCTAGAGGGAGTCACTAATATCACCAGAGACAAAATTTGGCTTCCATTTGGTGATTCAATGTGGTTTGTATTCATTTCTCAATGTAAAACTGCATATTTACTGAAACGAATCTCTTTATTTTTCAGAATGACATTTTCCTCAGACATTATGACAAAGGGCCATGCAGAAATAAACTAGGCCACTCGAGAGCATCAGTGATGTGGAACCGAACACAGGTACCCTGACCTTACAGGGAGCGTGACATAAAGCAAAACTGTGATGGCTTAAAGAGCCCACCTCTTTATCTTCTCTGCACTATTCCCTCCTGGGAGGTCCCATCTCAGCCTGGGAGGTTCTGGGGAGTTCTACGGTGGGGCTAGGGAAAAGCAATGTGGTAATCACCTGAGGTTAATTCAAGAGCACAGTCTCCTTGAGACTGTGGAGAAGCAGGGGCACCAGAGCTACCAGGCCATCAACAGTGATGTGCAGAATGCAGGCAGATGTTCTTTCCTCTTGAGAAACAGTGGAATGACTTTTCTAAAGCCCTTTAAGCCATATTACCTATCAAAGGCAATGTATTCGTCTGTTCTCACACTGCTAATAAAGACATACCCAAGACTAGGTAATTGATAAAGGAAAGAGGTTTAATGGACTCACAATTCCACATGGCTGGGAAGCCTCTCAATCATGGTGGAAGGCAAAGGAGGAGGTTTCAGTAAATATGCACATCTTACAAGGTGGCAGGTAAGAGAATTCCCTGTGCAGGGGAGCTCCCATTTATAAAACCATCAGATCCCATGAGACTTATTCACTACCACAAGAACAGTATATGGTAAACCTCCCTCATGATTCAGTTATTTCCACTTGCTCTTGAAAAGTGGGGATTATTAAAATTCAAGGTGAGATTTGAGTGTGGACACAGCCAAACCATATCAGGCAGTGCTCGAAAACCCTGTGAGCCCCTGCTGGGGCTTAGATCCCTCTGTAGATGCCGTTGTGTGTTTATGTGGCAGGTTCAAAGGGAGTCCTGGTTTATTTTTAATGGTGTTTTAGGCTTATTAAAGACAGTGTCCTCTGGAGGGAGTCAGTGCTAATATCCTAGTAGTCATTAACACCCCTATGAGCTAGCTGAGGAAATTCAGGTAGAGAGAGCATGAACACCAATAATTCATGACTATACTGAGCTTGTGACAGCTTCAATTGGCATTTGGGTAGTTTTCATCCTTGATTTGGTCCTTTGTATCTCTCTGGCTTTTTTCCAGTTCAGATCATTGCTGGGTACTGGCTGAAAGGTCCCAGAACCCTGTCTTATGTGCTTGAGATGATGTCTTGTTCAGGCTGCTATAACAAGTTACCCTAGACTGGGAGGCTTAGAGAACAGAAATTTGCTTCTCACACTTCTGGAGGCTGGGGAGTCTAAGGTTCAGTTGACGGCATGGTCATGCCCTGGTAAGGGCCCTCTTCCTGGTTCAAGGATGGCCGTTTTCTTGCTGTGTCTTCACATGGCATAGAGCCTAGAGAAAGGAAGAGAGCCCTCTGGTATCTGTTCTTGTAAGAGCAGATGTTAGTTGGTTTATGATGGGATTATGAAGGCCCTGCCCTCATAAACCAACTAACTGCCAAAGGCCTCATCTCCAAATACCATCACATCGGGGATTTAGGATTTCAGCATGTGAGCTGCAGAGGGACATAAATGCCTGGCCCACAGCAGATAGTTTAGTTAGAATAAGTATACACACTGAAAGACTTCATTGCTGAAATGTGCTTTTCTTTGAAATTTCCAGGTGGTAGGGATTCTCGTAGGCTTGGGCATCATTGCCTTGGTGACTTCACCTTTGCTACTCCTGGCCTCCCCATGTATAATCTGTTGTGTTTGCAAGTCCTGTCGGGGCAAGAAGAAAAAGCACGACCCATCCACAACCTAAAGGTTTCTGTGTTCACATGCCCCAGATGTGTGAATTACATGAGACGGCGCAGTGATAAAGCCCCACTTAGTGACCTTGCCTCCTCCTCCTTGCCAACTTTGAAAGTGCCTCTGTTGACCTTGTCTGCCAGCCTTCAGCATCGGGAAAGGCCAAATCCTGGGTGTGCATGTTCCTGTGTAACGAGAACTGGGCTTGACAGTCCAGCTGTGTCTATGGAGCATATCGGGAGCTTTGGGGTTGCTTGGGATGAATGAACATATCATTTTACCATCCAAAGTATCTCACTGGACTGTTCAACTTCCAGCCAAATTCAAGGAGCTTGAGTGAACATTTGATGTAACCAGTGTGTTGTCGTAGTTGGCAATGTGCAAAATAACCGAGAAGCCAGAGCCTGTTCTGTGTCGATTTGACTACCACGAGAAACACAGGAGAAACCCGATAAGGAGGAGAAGCATGAGACTGCATAAGGAGAAATCCTCGTAGGAGCTACAAAGCAAGCTGCTGATCTCAGCAATTGACATGGTGGTTGTGCCTCTGCTGGCTACTGGGTGTGCTGTCCCCAATGTTCCCACTATGATTTGGCAGAAACATAATAGGTTTCTCCTGTATGAACTCAGTTTCAAGAAGGAGAAACTGCCGTGCAGAGGGAGTTGTCCTTTTTCAGTCAAAGAGTTGCAGCCTGTTAAACGATATGGTGTAATTTAGTGTCTCTCCCTTGGCAAGTGTAAGTTTTCTGAGTTGGCCAGCTTGTCTCTTACAGCTGGTAGTTTTGGTCTACAAAATTGTTTCATACAAAATACAGGTAGAGTGATAGTTTCAAAACTTTTGTCATAGGTAACTGGGACCTTTCTAGGAGTCTGTGTTCACACATCCAGTAGATTTGGAATCAGGCCTAAGAGTACACATGGAAGTAAATATTAAAGTGTGTATCATGTACATCTAGAATCCATGTGACTTGCAGCCTACCTGTAATTTCTATCCATTGAGCATGCATGGATATACCCAATAGCACACACAAAATAAATGTTTACTTAAAAGCCATTCTATCCTTCTGTGACTGAAATGGTTTATTGCAAATCTGCCTAAAGATTTTTTGCATATTATATATGTGAATTTTGGTTGTAAGTTCATAACTTACCCAAGGGCATAGACTCCTAACTCTTTTAAAACAGTGCTTAGGACAATATCCTGCCATCTCTGTTTGTGAAAACACTAATGGATAAGTGAGTCGTTTATGTTTTCAAACACAGAGCAGCTCTGCTCAGCACAATTTACTGCTCTTTCAGCATCTGTTAGGACAGTCTGAATACTTTCTATGTTATAAGGCCCTGATAAAACAACAAAAACACGTAAGAAATAAAATAGAAACGCTTTATATATTTTAGTTTAAATTTATCACCTCATTGTTACTTTTTTTCCATTATGCCATGAGTCAGATTTGAATAACGAGGTTTTGAAAGAATAAAACCTTTTCTCCAATGACAGGATTACGTATCTGCTATTGGCAATGCAGCCTGGTGATTTATGAGACCTATGCTAAATGTTACTGGAGAGTGCTTGAAGCCAGGGGTGCCATATCAGGAACTGTTCAGGATCTACGGTATTTTCTGAGGTAACTGGGTAATAGAATATCAAATTGCTGCTATCTCTGACCTATTATTAAAGGATGATGCTTTGCCTATGTAATAGGATGTATCCTAAGTGGGGATGTGTATATTTAAGGAACTTTAATTCACATGTATATATTGATATCTGATGTATTTGTAGTACATCTATTGGTCATGTACATTTTAATTTACATGTTATATAGAATATAGATGAGAACTCTGGGAAAACTTGGGAAGGGCAACGAACCAAAATTATTTTTAATCATTTATTAGAAATTTCTCAATATTGTGTCTTTGTTTTCTTTTGAAACTCTAAATACTTCAGAAAAAAAACTCTATCAGTGTAATTCATATAATTATAGATTTACATATATTTGAATAGTTAATTTGCTTTTTACACAGAGCCTACTGCCTTGTTATAGGTAAAAGGCATTTGTAACTGCTCAGGGGATTACAGGAACTCAGCTGCAACTGAATTTTTGTAACAAGCATGTTAATAGTGGCAATATCCTCTGTTAGTAAACTCTTTAAGCTTGGTGCCACTAAGAGTCTTTAAACAGAGGCTGATTTTGAGTAACCTAAAATACTTTGTTATCAGAGGATGGGAGAAATATATATGCTATTTCCTTGGCAAATTGAAGGAATTTGCTGCCTTACAGAGATAGTATCACCGAATTAGCTGCTTACTTTTTGGCCAGGGCTAGGGAGTGCGGGTTGTTTGTCAAACTGTTTTTCAAGAACTGGATTTAATTTTTTTTTTTTTTATGTTGAGAAGTGCCTGAAAAATGGTAAATTCTTTTGAAATGTGTGTGAGATTGTCAGAATCAACAAAACCAGGCTAGTTAAACATATCTGGTGCCCTAGAGACTGTTTACAAAGGAGAGAGCTGGCAACGTGTTTTTTTCTTTTTTTTGGACAAGGTCTCTCTTTGTCACCCAGGCTGGAGTACAGTGGCGTGATCATGGTTCACTGCAACCTCTGCCTCCTGGGCTCAAGTGATCCTCCCACCTCAGCTTCTTGAGTAGCTGGGATTACAGGCACACACCACTACGCCTGGCTAATTTTTGTATTTTTTGTAGAGATGGGCTTTCTCTCTATTGCCCAGGCTTGTCTCAATCTCCTGGGGTCAAGCGATCCACCCACCTTGGCCTCCCAAAGTGCTGGGATTGAAGGCATGTGTGTCACCATGCCTGAGAGCTGACGATTTTAACCAACAACTTTGATAACAGAGGCTGATATTCTTGTTTTAGTTAATTGGCCAGAGACAGAGTTTACCCACGCTTCCTCTCTCAGTCTGCCAGATTTGTTCTTTCCTAGTGATTCTCTTTCTGTATTAAGAGGAAGTATGAGGTATCCATATGGATGTTTGGATGCTATGGCAAGAATCTTTTTGTGTTTAGAGTGTAGAAATAAAAAAATCCATCACCAAACTGTAATCTGGATGTAATAGCCCAGCATCCGGAAATCCTATGGGATGTTATTATAACAACGTCTTGCCATTGTCCCATCTAGGAAATTTTCCCTTGTTTTGAGGTAGGGAAGTGAGGAGAAAAGCCACGTGGAAGCAAATGTTAGAATCTTAGGTGTCCTATTTGTTCATGCCATGGGTATTTGCTTTGGACTTGGAGTCTGTACTTTGAAAGAGGCCTTTGAACAATAATTCAGTGTGAATTTTCTTGTAGCATTCTTCATGAAAATATTGCCCAGGTTTGCAAGTGTACATGTTTATTTGAATGTAAATCACTGTTTCTTGGAACCCTATGTTTTTTCTTAAAAATTATTCTGAATCTAAATATGTATTACTTTAGCCTTCCTTACACAATACTTATAAAAGACTTTTCTTTCTGTTCATGAGTGGATGCCTGTATGTGATAGTTGTGTGTATGTGTGTAGCTTTCAGGACAATTTCAGAAATGCATTAGATGAATGACATTTTATAAAGCGATCACAATTGATTTCTACAGGCTATTATGTCTCATGTTGATTCATGATCCAGGAAGTTTTATGTATTTAAAAAATTGCTATTGTATTGTATTTTTCCAATGTTGGGGGAAGAAAATAGTTGTTTTAGTGTCTCTAGCCACAATAAATGTGAGCAGGAAATTAAGTGTGTTAACCTTTGTCGCACTGTGCAATTCTAGGCATGTTCGATTTTGTCCTCTAAGAACTAACCAAATCATTGCTCTGAATTTATGAAGGTACCAGAATTTGCAATACCATCTATGGAAATAACTGTTGCTACTTTACTTCTTAAAAGAAATGGGGCCAGGCACGGTGGCTGATGCCTGTAATCCCAGCACTTTGGGAGGCCGAGGTGGGCAGATCATCTGAAGTTGGGCGTTCGAGACCAGCCTTATCAACATGGAGAAACCCCGTCTCTACTAAAAATACACAGTTAGCCAGGCATGGTGGTACACACTTGTAATCCCAGCTACTTAGGAGGCTGAGGCAGAAGAATCACTTGACCTGGGAGGCAGAGGTTGCACTGAGCCGAGATCATGCCATTGCACTCCAGCCAGGGCAAGAGTGAAACTCTGTCTCAAAAAAAGAAAAAGAAATGGGGCAAATGTAATGCCTTTATTTGTTACATACTTTCTTGTCTGTAGATGTGATAATCCACACTGCCACTGCACAGGAATTGATCATTATCCAGAGAAATAACCAATAATGCAGATCTTTGATCGTTCTAATAAAAACTGCTGCCAAATGCCAAAGCCGTTTGTTCTGTAACATGAAGGTTGCACTAAATGCTAAGGTCAGTACATGAAGGTTGCACTAAATGTTAAGGTCGGTTCTAACCTTCCAAAAGTCTGTTAGAGGAATGTGTTTCCTTGTTACCATTTTTAAGAAAGGATTTAGAGTGTTAAGGTCCTTTCCACTTGATTAGTATTCAAGGCAGGCCTAAAGATGGGTGCCAAAGGCTACTGAACAACTAGAGCTTGTGTTTCTGCAGAACTGAAAGCTGGTCTCCTGCCTGCATACAAAGGTTTACAATTGGCATACAATTCAAATTTCACTTTCTAATCATTCAGTTTTAAGGAAATCGATAAGGTCATTTAAAAACATTTTTGGGTTATGGGTCCTTAATTTTCTTCATCATCTCCTAGAATCTCAACATTAGTTCATTTTGAAAGTGCGCTTATTTGCTGAACTTGAATTTGCATTCCCAAAGAAATATTGAATAAACCATTTTATATAGCAGCGATTTTAATCAGTGCCCTAACCAGCAAACTCATTGCGATGTAAATTATGAATCTGGTGATTTGGAGGAGCATTATAATTAGGTTTTTCTGTAATTCAATTATTATCATTTGTTAAATAAATCTACTTCTCTTTAGACCCTAAAGATAATGTCCAACTCTATGAGAAAAAGGACACAAGTCTGCTTAAATGTGTTAAAAGCAATTACGTTTTATTTGTATATTTTTACATAAAGAACTTGGGAAAAGTCCTTTGAGATAAACGGAGCAGAGTAGATCCATTTTATGGAGAAAGCAATGTTTTGTGTTCAAGTCTAGCTTAGGGTCATACTGATGAGTGACAGAAATGAACTATGACTTGAAAGTAATGTAATGCTCTTTCATTAGTAATTTTGAGTCTTTCACTCCCAAATCTGAGTCTTAAGAGAACGTACTACCCTCTCATTTATCTGCATCAGTGGAGAAGTATGTAAGAATGTCTTATTTCAAATCATCACTTAGGGGCTGTGTTTTGGTGGGTACCCCCAAGATCCCCTCCCTCACTCCTTGGGGTTTGGCTAGAGAAGGATAGGAGATGGAAGGTAATTAGAAAAATAAGGCAGTGTGCATCTGACTTGCTAGTACTGCAACCAGACTTACAGCTGAATATACAAATTAACCCAAATGTCCAGGTGCTTGCCTCTCCCCTACAAAGTACATTCTCATGAGTTCCTTTTGATATTTACAATCAAGACTCAAAGCAACTGTTAACTTGGATCTAACACCTTTCTTGAGATTACCAACTTGTACCAAATGTGTATTTGTAGCCTACCATTAAATAAATCAGCTGGCAGTTTCAAAAACTAGAAAGGGACCCTAAATAATGAACATATTTTCTCGTACATAAAGAAGTCCTTTCAATTCCATTTTCTGCCTTTATGGTTTTTGATTTTTATCAGTGCCATATTTGCCCTCAGTTTTGCTTTTTTTAGATGTTAAATCTGGAATTCAGACTTTGGATGAGAAAGAAATTAAGTCGAATGTTGGTCGTTTTATTTGTAGTTCCTTAAGGACCCGACATGATTCAAGAGATATATTTATTTTGGGGTGAGCAGGGGGTGATTAACATCAATAGTACTAAACACATTCAAAGAAAATGAACATGACGGTATTTTTGAGGTAAGTTGTGAGACTTCTGTTTACTGATCAGCCTTCACTTAAGTTTTGAAGACAAGCCAGTTCATTTTAAAACAAACAAGTCCACGTACCGTCCTGCATGGTGTATCCTGAACTCTAGCCTGGCCCTGGGACTTTGGCACCACAACATGGGCCAAATGTTGTGGGCATGTGAACAGGGTGCTGGGAAAGGGCTGGCAAACCTGGTGCCACCCTGGGCACAGAACAAGTGTGTGGCATCCTTTGTCCTCCCAGCCCTCTGCCAATCCAGGTGGTTTGGGCTTAGAGACAGACACCCAGCTTGCAATAGGACGGCTTCAGTTCTAGGGCTGGCTGTGCTCTTGGCTGGTAGTGTGGTCTGGGGCCAGCCCTTCATTGTACAGTGTCGTTTCATCTTTATCTCAGATCAGGCTTAGGTGGCTTGAGTAAAATCCTGAATGTCAAAGTGCTTCTAAGTGTTGGTTGTTAGGGAGGTGTGAAGAGAGTGAGCCACTGAGTTAGGTGTGCTTGCAGCTTGAAGTGTAGTTGATCAGTTTTTTTGTTGTTTTGAGACAGACTCTCACTCTGTCGCCCAGACTGTCGCCCAGTGGCACTATCTCTGCTCACTGCAACCTCCACCTCCTGGGTTCAAGCAAATCTCCTGCCTCAGCCTCCCGAGTAGCTGGGACTACAGGCAGGTGCCACCATGCCTGGCTAATTTTTGTATTTTTAGTGAAGACGGGGTTTCACCACATTGGCCAGGCTGGTCTCAAACTGCTGGCCCGGAGTTATTCACCTGCCTCAGCCTCTGAAAGTTCCGGGATTGCAGGCGTGAACCACGGCGCCTGGCTGAGTGCTCAGTTTTTATCCAGGCAGTGTTCTGAAAGGAGAAGGGGGGCAAAGTTGGGACAGGAGAAGTACATTTCAAGCTTGTCTGTGTTAAGAGAGGTATGACCCCCTCAGTAAATATATTTTCTTTTTAGGTTTTAAAAAAATCCTACGTCATTGTTTAACAAGAAATATTTGACAAAATAGTTCTCTAACTTAATGCTTCATTAAAATGAGGGGAATATGTGGAGTGATGGAGAATCTATATCAACACACTGATTTTGTGGGGGCAGATTTATGGTAAAAACTTAGTATTTACATAATGCCGTATATGCTGCAAAATGTTTCCTGTTGCTCTTCATGCTATAGAAAGTAGATACTAATATTCACATTCCTTACCCCCAATGTACAGATGGGAGATGAGACTCAGGGGCTAGAAGACACGGTGCAGGCGTACAGCAGGTGAGTGGTAAAGCTAGAACTTGAACCCACATCTTGCATGAACCAACTCAGGACCTCTTAAGCATTAATTTGATTTTTGTGTTTAATTTCTAAAAACACATTTATTACTTCAGTTTCTGTAGGCCAGAGGTCTGACGTGATGTGGCTGGGTTCTCTGCGCAAAATTTCACTGAGCTAAAAAGGTGTTGGTTGAGGCTATGTTGTCCTCTGGGGCTCAGAGTCCTCTTCCAGGCTCTCTGGGTATTGCCAGAATTCAGTTAATTCTCACTCCTTCCACATCCCCCCATCCATCTTCAAGCCTTCAGCAGTTCATTGTGTCTTTCTCATACTTCAGATCTCTTTGGCTTTCTCTTCTGACACATCTCTGCTTCCATTTTACATTTTAAAGTGGCTATGAGAATATATTTGTCATTTTCTTTTTTTTGAGATGGAGTCTCTTTCTGCTGCCCAGGCTGGAGTGCAGTGGCAGAGATCCTGGCTTACTGCAACCTCCGCCTCCCAGGTTCAAGCGATTCTCTTGCCTCAGCCTCCTGAGGAGCTGGGACTACAAGCGTGTGCCACCACAACTGGCTAATTTATTGAATTTATAGTAGAGATGGGGTTTCATCATGTTAGCCCGGATGGTATCAATCTCCTGACCTCGTGATCCACCTGCCTCGGCCTCCCAAATTGCTGGGATTATAGGCAGCAGCCACTGCACCCAGCCCCTGTATTTGTCATTTCCAAAAGGAAATTTAGCTTTTTAAAATCTATTCTGTTTCCCAGCCCCATGAAAGCAAAACCTTTTCACAGGTAATAGAATCTGTTTGAAGACATCACAAACTTGGGGAAGAGTTAGCAAAATCTAACTTCTACCTGGGAACTGTTGACTTACAGTTGCAGTTGAATCTAGTATAGCCAAGGACATCAGCAGTTCTGCTGCTGGCTAGTATCCCTGGGAGGTCACTTGGTCTGTGTGTGGGACTCAGAATGGACTCAGAAGAAAACCTAATCTGAGCTTTCTAAACAAACCTTCAGAAGATTCGGAGTGAATCTTGTTTTGGATTTAGGAAGGACAACTCTTTTAAGAGCTGGCTTAAAATACAGGATGGTGTTTCCATTCAAATTAGACCAATACAGCAGACGGATCTGAGTTAACGAGTCACTGCCTGTTGTTGAGGGACTTGCAACAAAAGTCCAGTCATTGCCTCTTCCCACCGCCCCCCGCCACCCGCAGTGCAGCAATGCATACCTCGGTAGATGCTCTAGATATTTTAAGCTGGCATAGTCATGCTTTTGACTAGAAATGAAAGACCAGGGGGAATTGTGGTACTTCTCCTAGTCTCTTGTGGACAAGTTACAATTTCTTTTGGCTTCAGTTGCCTCCTCATTGTTCAGTACAAATTAGGTTGAGTACAAATCGAACATTTTGACTGAAATGGAAAAAATCTCCAGTCCCTACTGTGAGAACTATATGCATGAGATTAACTAACTCAAGGGAAAT